CACACACACACACACACACACACACACACTCACACACACACACACACACACACACACACACACACTCACACACACACACATACACTCACTCACACACACACACACACACACACACACACACACACGCTTTGCATAAAAGTCATGCCTATTTAAGATTTTCATGCACAATTTTCCACAAAATTCTCAGTTTTGCAATATAAAAAAATATTATATTATGTTTTGCATAAAGGTTAAGCCTATTTAAGAATTTTTTTTAGTAGATTTTTATGCACTGTCACAATTTCCATGAATATTTCCCACAACATCCTTATTATTGCAATGCATTTGGACATTTTATTTTTGAGGGTTTTTTCTTTGTAGCTTTGCATGTGTTCATTTACTGTAAAGATAGTGACATCTCGTTTCTATTGCAGTGATTAGAATTGGAGGTAAATGTGCTCAAATATCATGATGGGACTGTATTTCAGGTAAGAATATAACATTTATTTATTATTTAAAAAAAAAATTTTGTGGTGATGTTGTTTAATGGTCACATGACACGCAGGTAAATACAATTTCTCATTTTTTTGTGAGTGTTTTATTTTGATTGCTTTTATTTTAAAATAATTTATTTTTATTTTACACTTTTTTATTTCAAAAATATATATTTTAATTTTACATGTTCTGTTTTAGTTTATAATTATTTACATTTTACATCTGTTTTGAAATTATTCAAATTTGATATTTTAATTTATTTAAAAATATTTATTATAATTTTACATTTTTATGATTTGTTTTAAAAATATGTTATTATTTTATTTTATTATCCCCCCCCAGCTGCTCGTTAGCTGGGTTAAACTGCTGGTTATCAAGCTCATGTAGCTTATATTGCAGCTGAGGGTTATTGGCTCTTATGATAAATCGCTTCTAATGGGATGAAAGTATTTGCTTGATGAATAAATGCAAATGTTCCAGCTGCTTCTGCTTGATTTGCAAGCAGCTAACGAGTCAGTGGGAAGCGGTTACATCTTAAACTAGTCTCCATCTGGGTTCCTCCGAAATCTACAGATTCAATAAATAAATCATTTGAGGTCTCCCTTTAGTTTTATTAATTGCGTGCGTATATTTCATGTGCCAGTAATAATTTGTAATACTGATGTTAAAATACAATTTAATGTTTCAAATATATTTATATAATATATACATTTTAATTAAATATATATTACATGTCATATTAAATATCTGTAATATATTATAAAAATGTATTACACACACAATACATTTATTAATATAAATAAATATTTTTTTACATAATGTCTTATACTATTTATTATAATTTAATATTTTAAATATATTTTAAAATATATAATATATACATTTTAATTAAATATATATTACATGTCATATAAAATATCTATAATATATTATATACAATACATTTATATTAATATAAATAAATATTTTTAACATAATGTCATATACCGTTTATTATATTTCATTATTTTATTAATATCACATTTCATTTGCTTTATTAGTGTGTAATATTGATATATTAAATGTATAAGATAAACAACATAATAATATTCATATAATACTAAATGTAGTATTTCACTACAGCGCATGTATAACCTCTGCGGACCATTACACGGCTTCGAACCTGCAACCGTTCACCTTTCTTCACGGTCATAATGCACGCCGGTATTTCCGTGAATGTCTGACCTTCCACGAGATCCTCGAGGCTCGCGATCTTCCTCGCGCCGTCCGCGCTGTAGATGATGCGCACACCTTGCGGCAGGTGCAGGTTGTCGGCGAGCGCGCGAGTCAGCTCGGCCAGCAGCGCGTCCAGGGACCTGAAGCGGTCGCCGGACACCGCGTACACCAGACCCTTGAAGTACCGGTCGCCGTTCCGGTAGAACCGAACCTTCTTGGCTCGCTTCTCGGAGCTGAGCGTCTGGAGCGTGCGCGTCCGGTAGAAGCTGCAGCTGGCGCTGTGCGCGGGGCTCGGGGCCAGACTGCTCGCCCGGGAGCCCTGCTGGGAGCCCGAACCCGCCGCCGCGCGTTTGGAGCGGTGCGCCTTGTCCCGCTCGTCAAAGTGCTCGAGCTCGAGGCTCCTGCTGAGAGACATTTTCCTGCCCGGTAACCGACTTCGCAAACGTTTTTTCTTTTTGTCTATCGTCCGCTTTGCTCGCTATTGTCATCAGCCCGCGCGGACACAACGCTCTCCCCGCTGCGCGTTAACCGGACAGCATCATTTACATCAACACAAAAGCAGAGCCCGGCGTTCATCCCGCGTTCATCTCCATTCCAGCGGAGATGACTGCTGAGAAATAAATGAGTCCGGACGCCAGCTGTTGTCTGCGTGCAACAAAAACCCTGGAAGAGCTGAGCTGCACAATCCCGGTCAACCGCGTAATTCCGTTCAGACCGATCCGCCCTTAACCGAGCGCGGCGCGTGCGCTTTCTAGACGCGGTGCTCCGCGCGGTCTTAACGCCGTCTGACAGCACTGAGCAGAAACGTGATCTTTCATATTTCTATTTTTAAAACATTCAAAAAAGAAGAGATTTATTTTTGTGTCCTTATTCGAGTCAGAAATAAACCGGTTCCGCTGCGTCCTCGCCCTCGCTCTGTTTTTAAGAAATCTGAACTTCAAAATAGAACAATTCAATTCAATTAAATAAAGCAAAGGACACCGCTTGATTGATTTATTTATGCATACGCGCAAAAATAAATAAAAAAATCAAATAAGCATATTAAACATTACAAATGGCAATGTGCAAATCATAAATTAAAAACCAGACAGTGCTTCGTTTTATTTAATGCATGCAAAAAATTATAAATTATTAAAAATGGTCAAATTAAAATAAATAAGTTTAAAAAAAAAAACATTACAAAAACGCTAAGCACTGTCCAGTGCTTGCTTGATTTAATGCATGCAAACATGACAATTCATTAAAAATGGTCAAATTAAAATAAACAAGTTAAACAAATGAATAAAAAATAAACACATTACAAAAACACTAAGCACTGTCCAGTGTTTGCTTGCTTTATTTATTGACATGCAGAAATGACTATTCATTAAAAATGTTAAATTAAAATAAGTAAGTTTAAAAAAAGCATTGCAAAAACACTAAGCACTGTCCAGTGCTCGCTTGCTTTATGTATGTATGCATTTATTTAATTAATACATGCAAAAATGACAATTCATTAAACATGGGGATACTCAAGTAAAACAAAAATAAAATAAAGCACTGGATATAGTGCTTAGTATTTATTTCATTAAACCGAGCATTCATTAAAAATGACCAAACGCAGGTTATTTTCTTTATTTTGCTCTTCAGTTTGTTCCAATAAAGTACACCGTACATGAAAATGCACCGTGATGTTAATATTCACCTGGATTTCTCTCATAGTTCTCAAACTGTATTTACTCACTTTACTCAAACTTTAATCAATTCTACACAGACTCTTCATGAATGTGCACGTCTGATATGAATAAAGCTGATCAGAGCACTGTCTTTGATGCATTTCATGTGCTTCTGAACAAACACAAACAAAAACACTTCATGCCACGCCATTTCTGTTATAGTCACCTCTTTTTAACAAGATGAAACATATCAGATTGCTTTTGAGCATCTAAATAGCTCATTCTTTTTGTGCCTTTGAAAAAAGGAAGACATATAAATACCACAGTGTGCTGGAATTCAACTCCACTGATGTGCTTTTAATATTGAAATATGTTTCTCCACTGATGAAGATTGTAATATTTGTGTCTCATTACACAGATTGTCTGAAAGCTCAGCACATCTTCAGGATTATCATTTGCATTATAAAGTACAATAATTGAACTTTGGTTCTCAGGAAAGTTGATCAGCAGTCACTGATGAGCAGCCAATCACATAAAGCCACACGATCTCATCATTTCTAAACTGAAAGTCCATATTTAGAGACTTTTCACCCCTCGCTGGTTTTCACTTGCAGTTAGATTTAGGTTCAGATGAACTTATTTTTCATATTTCACATGCAAATGAATTAGGAATGAATGATGAATTAAATCATAAATATGCAAATAAAACATTAAAAGATTTGGAAAGATTACGTGATATTTTCCAATAGCAGGGAAAAAATATATTCTAGTCTAAATTATAGAAATATGGGCAAGCATGAGTTTGAGTGATAAATATGTACATTTTAAATAAGTTTTAAATGAAAACAATTCAAACAAAACACTAAAAATGAAATAAAAATGTCAAGAAATGCTAAAGTTAAATAATTTTGAAAATAAAAAGAATTAAATTAAAATACATAAAAATGGAATGTTAAAATGTAAAAATGTAAATAATTTAAAAATAAACAAAATAAAATAAAATCATTCAAAATGCTAAAAATTAAATTCACGAAAAAGTTAACAATTCTATAAATCATTTAAAAATACAATACAAACATTAAAAATAGAAATGCACAATTGAAATATATTAAACTGAAAATGGTAAAAATAATTACTAAAAATAGTTAAAAAAAATATACAAATGAAATTAAAACACTTACTAAAATGATGAATCATGGGGTTATTCTCTTAATAAATAGTGCTGAATGTAACATCAATATAACATGTATGTAACAACACACTAAACACAAAAACAGATTCAGTCCAGATGAGCCTGAGGTTGTTGAAAACACCTGGTGGAAGACCTTTGTGTGTGTGTGTGTGTGAGTGTGTGTGTGTGTGTGTGTGAGTGTGTGTGAGTGTGTGTGTGAGTGTGTGTGTGTGTGTGTGTGTGTGTGTGTGTGTGTGTGAGCTCATCAGACGTGATTCTCAGGGTTCCTCTATCCTGATCTGTAGGACATCACTCAGATCCGGCCGCTTTCTCAACGCCTGAGGAAATAAAATACACTTTATTACAATCAGACACATGCATCCAATATTTCTATTTCATGAAGTTGTTTTTAGATGAGATTTGGATCTCCTCAAATAATCTCTTGGCTTCTTCATTGTTGGCGTCCTCGAAGTAATCAGAGATACTCAACTGAACCACCACACACTTCAGACTCATACACACACCTCACACATACACACACACACACACACACAGACACACCTCACACACACACAGAGACACACACAGAGACACACACACACACAAACACACCTCTCACACACACACACACACACACAGACAGACACACACACACACACACACACACACACACAGAGAAGAGCTGCGTTAGACGTGCATGAGCAGTGTCAGCTTTAGTCTTGAATGAAATGACAGTCAGCATGTGTCTTTGGTGTTGGCTATATATGAATCAACACACCAAATGACCATCTTTGCAGTGTAAGTGGTTATAAATGGATAAAAAAATAAATGCAAAACAGAACACACCAATCTCCATGAAATATGCAAATATATGTGAGAAAAACCAAATGGAATCCATACGCAAATATTATAATATATCTAAAAAGTGTGTGTGAGAGTGTGTGTGTGTGTGTGAGAGAGAGAGAGAGAGAGAGAGAGTGTGTGTGTGTGTGTGTGTGTGTGTG